GATTTTGATTTTCCAATTTTAGAATGTATTTTCATGGTATACAGTGAAGGGGCCTGCACATAGTGCTAGCATGGTGCCTGGCAAAATAACAGATGCCCAACAGGTTTTCGTTGTTATGAAAATGAATGAGCTAATAGGTGATTCCACCAAAATACAAAATAAGAGTCAAAATGAGAAAAAAATCACATAGTATAGGTGAGACTTAACCAAGACATTATCCATTAATAAACTTTGTGAAAGTTTTAAGAAAATCTTGATTTACTATAATGATATTTGAATAATATTTCATTTAATTGGTTATTGTTCACTATATAATTACAATTTAGTAAACAATCAGCAAAGTATTTCCCCTTTGAAAAGAGTTGGACATTTCTGTTATCTTGCCAAGACTGAGAACCAGGTGTGAACTTTAGTGACTGTTTCAAGTTACTTTTGGTCTGCAAGAATTTTTCTTTTTTTTTAAATATCCTTCTGGCCTTCTAGCAATGCCCTCATCTCAGGTGTCACCCTGTTAAACTATAAAACAATGAGAAGAAGCTCAAAATAGTCTGGCAATATTTGATATGTGTAACAAATCCTGAGGTTATGAGGATCATAGCCTAAGACTCTTCAGTTATAACAATCCTCCTCTTGTGTCTGTAACAGGGAAAGACTGTCATGTGCAACTACTACAATAAAACCAAGAACCCAGTAGTATAGGATCATTTCAAAGAATTTGATTCTTTTTGAAGAGATCTAGCATCATTCAATCACCTGAAATCATCAAAGCTTCTTGTACCATAATTTTCCAATCTATGACCAAATTTCCAATTTTAGGGCCTCTGATTTTTCAATAATCTCTCACTAATTCTCTCATTACACTGAGTATGTGACTGAATGAATGATCAGATGAAATTGTTAATAGAATGGTTCATTTCTGGAGGCTAATGACCTATTGGAAATGAGATTAAGATAATATACTTATTTTACATGATTGATGGTGTTGATTCCAGCCATTACTTCTGATCAATATGATTTATAATCTTGTGGCATTAATGAAAAGGGACACAGTGGGCAGTGCTTATTCTTTTATAATGTAGATTTCATTGCTATACACAAAAGTCCCTAAATAGGAAACTTCCATTCCAAGCTAACAGGCCAAATTTCATCTGTTTATTACACCTCCAACCAAAACTCAAAAAACAAACTCACTGGCATTTAGTCAATTCTGACTCATAGAACCCCCACTGGGTTTCCGATGTTACGGAATCACCACATCTTCCTTTGGCGGAACAGTTCAGTTGGTGGGTTTGAACTGCTGACATTCTGGTTAGCAGCCAAATGCCTTATCCACCACACCACCAGAGCTCCTTAAGAGCTCAGTAAGTAAGGGAAGCTTCTTTTTTTCTCCCCTACTGAGACATTTTATCTTTCAATCTAATTTTCAGACCTTGTCTTGATTAATATAGATTTGCTAACACTCTTGCCTTTAAGTCATACATCTTGGAAAAAGCCAATTGAAGTAATATATTTCCTAGAGAAAATTTTCCCATACTCCCAGTAAAATATTCAGATTAATTAATCTTCTGTGATATCCTAGTAGTTCTATCAAACAGTGCACGTAATTGTTCTTGTTTAGGATTTTTTCATTAATTTGAATGGAAGCAAGGTTCTTGCTTCCAAACTGCCTATGAACTATAGGTATAGATGAATTGTTCTACGTGCTAGTTATTAGTGTTGGAGAATAATATTTTGTAACATATACCTCACTAAACCAACTGTCCTCGAGTCAACTCCAACTCATAGCAACCATGAGTAAAACTGTGTTACCCAAGAATTTCAATGGATTATTTTTTTGGAAGTAGATCACCAGAACTTTCTTCTGTGGTACCTCTGGAAGAACTCAAATCACTCACTTTTTTTTTTTTTATCAGTTGTTGTTGTGTGCCCTCGAGTCAGAACAAAATCACAGCAACCTCTCCTTGGGTTTCTGAGGCAGTATCACTATGGAAGTAGATTGCCCAACCTTCCTTCCGAGTGGGCAAATGAAAAAAGTAATCTTTAGTACTACCCTTTTCAACTTAATAATTTAAAAATATGTAAAGAATATGTAATCATATGCCCTATACCTATTTGTTAACTTTTAAAGCTAGTATTTATCCATTTTAAATCAGTAACAATAAACTTTACGGAAATTTATTTCAATTTTAGAAATTGACCAAAATTGGCCAAACTCTCCCCATACTTCCAGGAACTACGTCAAGACATCCCTGTAAAAAAAAATAAATCCTATATGAGCAGTGAGGTGTGGTTATTAAACTATATCCTCATGGAAGCATAAAGTTGACTATAAATCACATAACTCAAGAGGAAACTTTAAATACGCTGAGTACTTAATACACCTATAAGTGGTGCTTTGATTTTTAATAAAAGTCACCTGGTGCATTTTCTACCCTGAGCACCTACTACAATGTCTGGCGTATAATTAGTTTCCAAAAAATGTCAATGGAATGAACAGCTCAGAATTTTTAAATAAGAGGTGGATGAACAAGCCGTCTTTGAGTTATCCACTAGGTGGCACCCAGGGACTATGCTTTACACATCAAATTGCTACAGACCCTCCCATTCATAGAGTAAATAAAGAGCCGCATTATTAATTTATACCATCGCGTCGTCCATTCTACACCTAATATTTGTTTAACCAGCTGTTTCCTCTAATCCTCCTTAAACATTATTGATTAAAATTCTTATTCAAGTCCTTACCTAGCCTCACATTCTCCCAAGCACATTTTGTTGCCTTTAAATGACAGGCTAACCATATTAGATGATATAGACTAAGTACTTTAGTTACTTACAATGAAGGCAGGGATCTAAAAAAATTAATTAGAAGCAATAGAAGATCATTTAAAAGTTATTTTATAATTTGCTTTGCTCTTTTTTTTGTAATTTTAATGGATGGAATACCATTATCTTAAAAATAGAATATAGAATATAAAATATGAGTAGGCAAAAGGAAATGGAAAAAAACTTAGTATTTTCTGAAGAAGCCAATTATTTTCTGAATATGACTCTTGTTCATCTTTATAAAGATGAAGTGTAGTTCTTCTATTTTAAGGTTTTAAAGACTTCTTCGTTTGCTCAGAGTATACCAGTATTCTACGCTCAACAGTCCAAAAGACAGGACTGTTTGGTGGACCCTTTACACATAACGTATCTCCTGCATACTCCGAGCCTATTTATCCTGGATGTGTTACTTGCTCCCAAAGGAAGGAAAGGAAGTGAAACCACTAGGGATATAATGAATGGATTCTTCTCTGTGAAAGTCTCTTCAGTACTCCTAAATCCCAGTGTCAGTCATTCCTCTGAGAGACAGGGCTTGGCTGGAAATAAATGGCTCACTTTATGAGAACATAGTTCTCCTCTTTTTTGTCCCTTGTAGAAAGCCCAGGTCTATTGGGCACTCATGAGAGGAGTACTGGTCTTTGAGTAAATTCCCCCCCTCCCATGGACCAATGGATCTCTTGAAATTGTTGGTTTTCATTTGCTCATTTAGTTAGCTTTAAGCAGAATTGCTGCTCTTTACCTAGTTATCCTATGTTTAAACTGTTTCCAATTTATTGAAGAGATTACTCAAATATACTCATTCTCTTCACTGAACCAATTAAATTATTAGCAACAGATAGTAAAAACCTGACGAGAAACTTGAATGTTCAATAGTTCTCTGCCGTACTTTCTAATTTTACTGAATGGATGGGAAAAAAAAAAAAAAAAAAAAAAAAAACTGCTTTTATTTGAATAAATAGAGCTAAAGTTAAGAAATGGTATGTGGATTATAAAATATCATACTGCAAGCTATCCAAAGAGAACTACTGTGATATATTATTTTTAGTAGAACAATATTCTCTTTTTATGATTCCATTAAAATATTGAAGTCATTGGAGTGTGTATAATGTTGCTGTAAATTTAGTACACTCAAATAATCAAACAGAAATGGTTACCAGAAACCACATTTGTAATGAATAATTATTATATTTCACTTAGAAATTAATTCACAGGCTTCATTTCTTAAGAACCGTTAGCTTTCAAGAAGCCAGCCAGTATGTTTGATTTTATGACATCACACTGGAACATGTTCAGGAACACTTTCCACCCTAAAAATTCCCAAATGTACTGGCCACTTTGTGTATTTTTCCAGTGATAAAAGAAAATAAAATGACTTATTTTCAAAATAATAAACCATCTTATTTTGAACACAGCAGTCATATTCAATGAAAGAAAACTTAATCCAAGCCCAAAAGAGTTCAAATTTGCTTCTGGTGGTTAAAAAGTCTCAACATACTAATAATCCATTTAAGCCATATTTAAAAGTAATCTTAACAACTATGACATAACAAATTTTCAGCATATGAAAATTATCCATCAACATCATTCTATATAGAAGTGCATCGTAATTCTGTGGTCTTAATTTCATAATTAGCAGGAGAAACCTGGACCAAAAATGGTAACACTGCAAAGATTAATCTAACGGGTATTATCTAGGATGACAGTAACTATTTTTCACATAAACTTATATATCCCCTAAAACAAAACTCATAAATCTGGAGTGGACATTCTCATTCCTTAGCTCTTCTTTCAGCCTATACTATTCTTTTTTGATCTCAGGTGCTATAAAAAATGCTTGCTGAAATACAGTTGGAAAAGTCACCCTTGGAAACCAGGAAACTACCAGCTTTATAGTAGCACTAGCAAAAAAGCCTGGATACTAGAGTTAATGCTTTTCACAAATTTAGACTGAGCTTGTTTATTGAAAGGCAGTACTTTATCTGACAAATTAACCTTAAAAATTAATAGAAAAATTTTGACATGTCATGTTAAACCCAAATAAAAGTTAAAGAGTAAAAAATGTATACATATATAATATACATATAATGTAAACTATACCATAATGTATATTGTTTTCTGAAATCTTGATGGCACCAAGGTTTGACCCAAAGAAGAAAACAAAATTATGGAAGTTTTACCTTGTCCTGAAATCCAGAAGCTCAGATGCTCTCAAGTCCTGCTGATGCTGGAACCTGGAGATCAAGTGAAGCTAACTCTCTTTGCCCTCACCTTAAGTTTGTCTCTAGGCGAGTGTGTGTGCGCATGTGTGTATGTGTGTGCAAAATGTCTCTTTGTGGCTCTGGATGGCAGAGGTCCTGATCCTGGGAAGAAGGAGGTACTTTCTCACCAAGAGCAGAAGAAAAGCAAAGCGTCACCAGGAAAGTTCTCCTACCAGATCCCCTAATTACAGCCTAACGTGCACTTCATGCAAACTTCAGGGAGGAAGGGAGGGGTAGCGCTGTGCCCAGACCTTGTAAAACAGCAGCCTCTTAGATGACTTTCCTCTCTGCTCAGATCCCGAGTGTCCCGCTCTGGGGTTCAGGAAAAGCAGCTGCTGCAACCACAAGCCCTCTACCCACGCCACACCTCTTGTACCCTCAGCACTCTTAAATGTCCAGAGTAGGTGGGGAAAGAGGTTTACTGAGACGATCTGTGGGGTAGCAGTGTGAGGCAGTCTCGCCAGGACAGTCCATTTTTGCTAGGTTATTTATTTATTTACTTACTTATTTTAAAGACTTAGCTTAAAAGGAAAATCCAAGGGTGGGAGAGGTTCTCTCTCCTGCCTTTGCCCCTCCCCCCAAAGTAGTTTGAGGATAATAAGGTAGGGAGACAATTACAACAACAACAGATAAAGCTTCCAGAACTGGAGATGCCCTTCCATCCAAATTGCCAAAAGCCTGTTTTTCCTGTTTAGTGGATCCAGTGTCAGTATAGGTTGAAATCTCCGTTAACAAACAAACAACTGCTATTGTATCCCTGTATGACAGACCTCAATGAACCTGGATTTATTTATAGAGTGAGGAATGCAAGGGGGAGAAGAGATGGGTGGAGCTGGGTTGTGGATCCATACCCGGGATTGGAACCAGATGGGCAAAGGGCGCGCACTCTCCTTCGCGCGCACACACACACACACCTAAAATAACCGCTGAGGAAGATGCTGGGACACACGGGAAAACGCCTCCTGAACAAATAGACATTTATTTATAACTCCGAGGAGAGTATATAGGTCCATTGATTCCCGCCTTGAGTAACCAAGGGTTTTGGAGAGGAAATGGCTTCATATTTCAATAACAGAGCCACCTTTGATGGAGCCTTAGGAGGGGAAAAAAAGAACCACACCGCAGGAAGCAAACGGCAGTTGAAGCAGCCGGGAGGAGGGAGCGGGGTTGGCTCCGGGACTAAGGACAAGCAAACAAGCCTGAGGGGCCCATAGCCACAGAGAAGCTGAAACCACAGCAGGCCAGTCGGAGAGCCAGAGGTGCAGGGCACATGGGCGCAGGACATTGTGACAAGTCTAGGGGCTCTGGGTAGCCCTTGGCTCTCTCCCGCCGCCCCAGGAAGGCGCAGGTTGGACTGCTGGCTCTTCCCAACTGCCTCTGTCACCTCTGCCGCAGGGGCGCGGGTGGGGCTTGAAGACTGGAGGGACAGGGAGCCGATTGGACAGGATGTTGGTGGGGCAGGGGAATTCGTGGAACAGTTGTGTTGGTGAGGCAGAAGGGGACTCATGAGACGGCGGGACCATTGGGGTAGGGCGCCGATGTGGCAGACGCGCAGGTTGGGCAAACGGTAACAGTCTCCAGTGAGGCAAGGGGACGTGTGGTGCAGGAGGATTGGTATGGCTAGAGAACACGTGAGATAGAGACTTCAGTGGGGAAGGGCGCGCACTCTTAACAGCGCAGAAGGCAGCGAGCGGCGCTATTGTCTTAAATATAAAGCCTAAGCCGCTGCCAACTAGGTTTCCTTTGGCTCTGGAGAGAGGCGGGAAAGCGATCTCAAGGGGCTGGGGAAAAAAAGGCTTCCTCTCGCCTTTCCTTGATGTATTTCACTCGTTCCTGTCACCAGGCTCTTCTTTGCCATTCGCGCTTTTGGTTAATTAGCACGTTCCAAAGACAAACCAAATACAACCTCTCATTCAAGACAGTTATATTTGAAATGAAATAGTTAAAAATGAATCCTCCAATAGACAATTCAACACCTATTTCGGAGTTCGAATTCTTAGGCAAGATTCCTCTTTTCATATTTTTGTTTGTTTCTCCATACAGTGTACAGTTGGCTAAAGGTTTTCTAATTTCATGTCGTTAATTCAGTGGCTATTGAGAAAGCTGTTATGTAGGCCCGCATATTAACTGCCAATAAAAATAAGATACAACTCAGCTTTTCAATTATGAAAAGAGTTTTTATTCTATTTCTTATAAACGTTCGGGGTGTTTTTATGTTTTAAAGAACATAAGAGAAATTAAACTTAAAAAGAAATATAGTGGAATTTTTATATTAAAGAGCCATAAAGTGGTGAGGCTAGTGACTTGTGGCTATTGAATCATATAAAGAGACTTTAAGTGTTGATTTGTGTTTCCTCAGCTTAAAAACTGAATTTCTGGGGGCTGCCTGGAGGATAAATTAGATTAGCTGGCCTGTGGAAGGCACATGTTCCCTTATTTTGTAGTCTGTTCTGTACACTTATTCCAGCAGTGATAAAAATGCAAAACATATTTTTAATGCATTCTTTTCAGAAATTGTGTAGAAGCCAACCTAGATAATTTGTTTTGCAATTTAGTCACATCACAGTGAGTTAACAATAGATTTTTTTTTTTTTTTCAGTGAGATAATTCAGCAAAAAAACTCAATGGAATTCAGTGGACAGATTTCCAAAAATAACAATAGCTACTTATCTCTGCAACTTCTGACAAGAGTTATCTGCCAGCTCATCCCCACCCCATTTCCAGCCTCCCTTTTCCAGTTTCCTAGTTACTAGCCTTTGTCAGGGCCGACTCCACGGGCACACAACAACAACAGCAAGCCTTTGTTAAAAGCGCCACATTATTTTTAATTATACGAATTTGACCTGTCAATAGTCTGTGCTTTAAGTGTTTTCAGACTTAATTTAATAGACATTATATACATATCCATCATTTGTGGCTTCCCATTATTTTATAATTACTTGAATTTATGTTGGCATTAGCTTTAACAGTCTTTTAAAAAAGATCTTGTTTAGTTAATCAATGTTCAGCTAAATGGTGCTTTATAAACAAAAAGCAAAAAACCAAACTCACTGCCATCAAGTTGATTCCAACTCATAGAGACCTCCTTTAGTTTCCTAGGCAGTAAATCTTTGTGACAGTAGATTGTCCAGTCTTCCTTCTGGAGAGGCTAGTGGGTTTGAACCACCAACCTTCTGGTTAGCAATCAAATGCCTTACGCACTACACCACCAGATCTCCTTAAATGATGCTCCATAGAGATATTGTTGTTGTTGTTGTTATGTGCCGTCGAGTCGGCCCCGACTCATAGCGACCCCTCCTTGGGTTTCCGAGGCAGTATCACTACGGAAGTAGGATTGCCCAACCTTCCTTCCGAGGAGTGGCTGGTGGGTTTGAACCGCCAGCCGTCTGGTTAGCAGGCAAGTGTCTTAGCCACTATGCTACCAGAGCTCCCCCATAGAGATATACGTTATTTCAATTGGTCATTTTAAATTTTACATCAGGGCACAGACATTTCTAATAAACCGAAAAAAAATCAAATCATGTAAGTAAATTAAAAACAGGGATCTATTTTCATGACTTTAAATATTTCACAAAGGTACTTGCTGTTGTTGCTATGTACTGCAGATGAACTCCCACTCATAAGAACCTTATGTTATAAAGAACAAAATGTTGCCCTGCACAAAGATGTAAGTTGTTAAAATATAAATACATGTAAGAAGTCACAAATACCTTTTCAATGAAAGTACCACACATTTATTGCACAACCATAAAGAATTCTGTACATGAATTCTTTCTAATTATTAACATTAGTAATTTGCACAGAAACTCATACTATACATTATTTTTCAGGTATTTTTGTTTTGTTTTGTTTTTGTTTTTTAATTTGGAGAAAGCAGGAAGGTTAGTTTTTGCAAACATCAAGAAAAAACAAACATTTTCTCTATATCAATAATTAAAATGGCTTATGTGCTTTAATAATAATGAGCCTTGGTGGTGCAGTGGTTAAAGCTCTTGGCTGCTAAACAAAAGGTCAGGGGTCCAAACCCACCAGCCATTCCACAGGAGAAAGATGTGGCAATCCATGAAAATTGGTAATTCAGAAAGAAGTGCCTCCATAAAAATTTTCAGCCTTGGGAAACCTATAGGGAAGTGCTACTCTGTCCCACAGAGTTGCTACGAAAAGAAGAAGAAGAAGAAGAAAAAAAAAAACTCACACTACTTTGGTTTCTGAGGTGATATCACTAGGGAACCTTCCTTCTCAGGAGTGGCTGGTAGATTTGAACCACTAGCTTTCTGGTTAGAAGTCAAATGTCTTAGGCACTAATCCATCAGAGGTACTGTAGAGTTGCTATGAGTAGGTATCAATTTGATGGCAGTGGATTTGGTTTAGCCTAGGTCCTTAAAATTCATGTCAGGTTCTATAAATTACTTGATGAGTGCTAGAGATGCAAAGCCTAAAAATCAAAGTTGAAAACAAATGCTAGTTTTGACAAAGCAGACACAAACTTTGTGCTAATAGGTTCATACATATGTACAGCTAGCAATCAGCACATTTTTATAAAGTCTTATTTAGCATTATGTGAAAGTTTTTTTAAAGACACAGAAATAGGTCAAAATGATGTTATAAAATGTAACTTTACATTATTTTGCTAATTATAAAAAATTTATGTACTGAGTTAAACCAGATGAGATGCCAATATGCAAACACTGTTGACATACCAAAAAAAGTCAATTTTGTCAGGTTTAACCTAATATAAACTTAAATATGTGCATAGTATAAACATAGAAAGAATATTTTCAGCATTTTTAAAATGTTGATCTAAAATATCATGAATTTTTAATACATAAAAAATTCTCAAGTAGAATGGTTTCCTCTTGGCATTATCACACTTCTAATGAAATATACATTTATATTCAAATGAAGATTATCTAAACTCATCTTCTTTTCAAACTCTGAAAGAGGTTATTCTATTATCCACTGAATTCCAGAGAACCGGCCTCTCTAGGAGCTCTTGTTTCCTGGAATTTTTGCCTCAGGCTAGCATTATACCTGGTTGAACATCTGCTAGGATAAAGGTGCAGCTATAGCACTTAGAGGTACTTGGGGGAGGAAAGTCATTTGACCTTTCCTGTCTGAGGGCTCAGAGCTTCATTAAAGCAGCCCTTGGGATTATGAGCATAACTAGGAGGAAGACATCATTTGTAATTAATTCCT